TACACCACATCTCTGTTCCTGTTGGCATGTTAGGCAGCTGAGGTGGCAGAGGATCCCAGAAGTTCCCTAGTCCAGGAGGAGCCCAGGCCTGACTTACACCCCCTTGGTGACGGGGAGCTCACTGCCTCCCAAAGGGCTGTGCCAACCCTCCTCTCCACGCCCCGCCTCCCAGGCACTTCCTCCATCTGGCCTGGCCCTGCCTGGTTGGGGCGCCCAGCATGCATCTAAGCCGGGTCTTCCTCACAGCTCCATCCTTCTCCTGGTCCAGGCTGATCCCCTTCTGTCTGTCCTCCCCTCTGAACCCCAGTGAATGCTGGGGACCGCACATCTGGCGAGGTCAGCGTTCTGCTCTAGAACCTGCACGGACCCCTGCCACCTCCAGGAGCTGTCCAGCTCACGGGCCACCCAGTGACTTCTGTGTGCCCCCTCGCCCTGCCTGCGCCAGCCTCCTCCAGCCCAGCCTCCGGGCACAGCCGGGGCGTTCCTTCTCAGCAGGGGCACTGGGCTGCCAGGCCTCCAGGCCTGTGCACACAGGGGGCTCTTGCTGGGAGCAGTGACCCCCCTTTCTGCTTTGGAGACCCGGCTCCGACATCCCCTCCTCTGTGAAAGCTTTCCTGCCTCTTCCCTCTGGCTGGCCACCTCTGCCCGCTCCTCCTGAGTGCCCTCTGCCCCCTGATTCCACTCACTGCTGACATGTCCTCCCCTGCGCACTGGGAGCTCCCAAGGGCAGTGGCCATGCGGACCACCAGATCTCAGTGCCCGCCCCAGGCAGGGGGGTGAGGGCCCAGAGAACACTGGCTGAGGGGAGACATGGCGTGGGAGGCTTATCCCTGGAGGAAAAAAGTACTCTCTGCCACTCAAACCACTGCCCCCTCTCACCCCATCCCTGGTCCTTCCTCCAGCCCCTGAGGAGCACTGGCCTGGGGGCCAGACAGCCACCTCATCGGTGGATTTGGACAAGTTGCTTCCCTTCCTTGGGCTCGGTCTCCAATGAAATGGGCTGGGGGTGAGGAGGCAGGAAACCATCATCTCCAACATCCCTCTCCCCCCAGCCTTCCTCTGGCTATAAAAGCACCTGCCGTGTGCCAGGACCTGTGCTAGGCACCTTCCTTCTGTGTGGGATTGCCAATGCACACGGCACGAGATGTGTTACATAAAGCACTCGGCGTGATAAAGCCTACAGCATGCCGTCTGGCATATCATGAGCTTCAAATAAACAAAAATGGCTATCACTAGCAGTTACCCTTACCATTACCTTACAGTTACCCAGTGCAGTGCCATTTTGTAGATGAGAAAACAAAGGCAAAGCGAGGGGCGTGACCTGCTCAAACTCACACAGTGGGAAGCAAGCAGCGGGAGCCGGTTCCTCTCCATCACGTCCTAGCTGGTGGGCACGCCCATTGAGCCACCCATTCATTAAATATTTACAGCCGCCTACCGCCTGCCTGGCCTGGTGTGAGTGCTGCAGACACAGACGAGACCCTGCCCTGGTAGAAGGCACTGCTTCCTGGGGAAGAGAGACGGGCTAAACGCTCCCGGGAGCACATTAGAAATCACAGCACACGCTCTACGGCATAAAGAAAAAAACCGGGGTGCCGTGAGCTGTGACTCGGCTTGGGGTGGCTCCGATGGGGACGGTCTGGCTAATTTGGCGAAGGCTGGGCTCTCCTGGGCACGGGTGCCTGCCCTCCAGACCAGCGTGGGGCCTGCCGACCCGGGAGGAGGGAGCGGGGTGCAGCCTCCGGCGCCCCCAGCCCAGTCTCTTTGAAGGCTGTCCCTTTACAACTGCCCTTTCCACCGGAGGATCCAGACACAAATTGTACTTTAAATTCAATATCGGTCATTAATATTTCATGATTACAAAACGTTAAAGATAATGTCAGGGAAGGAGCGTCGGCATGGACGGGATGGAGCGGGGAGACAGCATACTAAGTGGCCTGGGAGGCCGGAGGTAATCCGGTGTGACAGCGGCCCTCCCGCCGCCCACACTGCACTCTCCGAGGGGCTCGCAAAGCCAGGCCGCTGTGTATAAATATCTCCCCTCTGATGCTTGTCACCTTATGTTTGTCACACTCAGGGCAGGCGGAGCCCATCGCGACCTCTGAGTATCCCCTGCTTCCGTGGAAGTCTGATGGATGCAGACCCCTCCCTCGGCATTGCACTGGGGCTCCTGCAGGCTGCCAGCACGGGCCTGTGGTGAAGCCCGGGCCCTGCATGGACTTGCTCTGTGACCTTGGGGCCATTGCTGTTCTCCCCCCAAACCTCTGCTGGGCACCAAGGAATTATGACTTGAGGAGCCATGGGGGAGAACTGGGCTCTGGAGTCAGACGTCTGGGGCTGGAGATTTGCACAAATGGCTTCACCTCTCTGAGCCTGTGTCCTCATCCACATCCTGGGGACACAGCAGACTCGACACCTCCTCGGTGGGAAGATTCAGTGAGCATGTCACTGCACAGGGCCTGGCCCAGAGTCGGGGCTTCAGGGTCGTGCATAGTCAAGGTCAATATGTCCCACGAACTGAGCACTCAGTAAGCACTGGGCTAAGTTCTTTCCTTGCATTTCCCTACTGACCTCTCCCCGCCCCCCACACACACCAGCACTGTGCAGTGGGAGCCACTCATTTCCCCACGGATTGATATCCTGGTGAGGGTTGGGCAGGGGTTATGGGGTGCAGTTCAGAGGTGGGGGTGTCTCTAGCCCAGTGACCAGTCTTCCTCTTCCCCATGGTCAGTCAGTTGTTGGGGACTGGTGGGTGGGACGGGGTGAGCAGTGAGTATCAGGGAAAGGGTGCTCACACAGCAATACTATGTAGGGAGCTGGGAAGTCTTGGACCAAATCCCAGCTCTGTCACTGCACATCTTTGGGCAAGTCTCCTAACTCTCTGAGCCTCAATTTTCCCAACAGGAAAACGGGTGCTGATCTGTGACAGATTATGATTCCAGAAAAGTAATTGCTAGAAAGTGACTGAATATATATTAGGTAAACACGGTAACATGTTTATGGGGGAGAGTCCCCCACATTCTTCCTCCGGCGGAACGGCAGCAACACAGCCATTATGTGCCCCTCTCGCTGCTCTGACAGGGACCCACTGACCCCAGGAGGGCTGTGCCGGGGTGGGCCGTCGGGTGGGACGGCTGCCGGAGGAGATGGATTTGTGGGAGGGAGAGGCGGCATCTCAGCCCAGCAGCCTGGCCAGTCCCTCTGGCTGCCCAGGGAGCAGGTTCAGGGAGGCAGAGGTGGGGAGCTGTCTTCCCCCCAGCCCAGCCGCCACTTCCTCTGCAGCCACCTTTGTTATCCGCCTTTCATGTGGTGGCAGAGTGGATTCAAAGGCTTGGGAGCAGCAGGCACGGAGGTTTGAGCCAGCTTTGTATTTTCTTTTAAACTGGAGTTGAAAGAGACGAAGGGAACTTCAGCCTAGGGACTTCCTCAGCCTGGGATGGCTGGTGGGGCCTGCGAAGTGGGAGGGCAGCGGCGGGAGGAGGAGAAGGCAGGAGGCCTCGCAGGGCCAGGAGGGCTTGGGGCCTAGGAGATGCGGAGGGTAGTTTGAAAATCGGTTGCCTGAGGCTCAGAGACGGAGGATTCCTGTTGCCATGATTGCTGACGGGCGGCTCTGCTGGCTCCTGAGACCCTGGGAGCTGCCAGGGCGTGGGGGCGTGGAGAGCAGGCCCGCGCAGCCTCCCGTGGTTATGGCGGAGGCCTGAAGCTGCGCTCGGCCCTCTCCTGCGGCTCCGTGAACCCCTCTGCTCTTAGCTCCTCACCTCAATGGCCTTGCTTATCTGGACCCTGTGTCTCAGGCCTCCCCCGCCTTTCTCTCCCAGTTCACACTCCTTCCCAGCTGCACCAAAGCGTGCCTGTGACACACACACACACACACACACACACACACACACACACACACACGCTCTTCAGTCTTCCAGAAGCTCAGGCCAAGCACCTGGAAGTCCTCCTTGACCTCTCCCCGCCTCTTAGTTCCACATAGCCCTGCAGCAGGTCTTGCTGGCTCTCTCTTCACCCTGTCTCTCAAAGCTGGCCACTTCCTACCTCCTCTATGGCTCCTGCCCTGGGCCAGGCCTCCGGCATGTCCTCCGTGCACCATGGCATTTGGCTAGCAGAGCCCCTGCTTTCCATTCTCAACGCAGCAGTCAGAGGCTGCTGTCAGACTTTGTTTCTTCTCTGCTCAGCTCTCCCCACCGACTCCCACCTCACTTGGAGTCAAGGCCAAAGACCCTACCATGACGGACCACTCTGCGCTTCACTACACACTGGCCTCCGTGCTGACCCTCCAGCAGGCCAAGCACACTGCCACCTCAGAGCGCTTGCTTGCACTGGCTGTTCCTTCTGCCAGAACACCGTTCCCTTCGATACCAGCATGACTCCTCAGTTTATTGAGGCCTCTGCTGAATGCCTCCTTCCCAGAGAGACCTTCCCTTAAGAGAAACACACCCTTTCCCCTGCCTTCCCCTGCTTTCTTCTCTCCCTTGACTTGATGTACATCTTTTCTCTCCATTTGTTCACAGGCTAGCTTTCCCCCATGAAGACAGAAGCCTGTCTGTGCTGTTCAGGGCTGTATTCTCGGGCTCTAAAACAGGGTTTGGTACTCAGTGGGCACTCAATAAATGCTGAGGGAAGAAAACCAGCTTCAAGATTGGCCCTACTATTTTGGCCTGATCCTTCTCACATTTCTCTTTCCCTGCTCATTGACTTAAATATATATATATATATATATGAAGGAAAAGGGAGAGAAACATCAATGATGAGATGGCCACCTCCAGCGTGCCCCCTACTTGGGATTGAGCCTGCAACCTGAGCATGTGACATGACTGGGAATCAAACCATGACCTCCTGTTCATAGGTCAACACTCAACAACTGAGCCACAGTGGCGGGGCCTGCCAACTGACTTTTGCCTTCCTCCCACCCTGCCATCTTTGCAGGGTTCTTCCACTTTGCCCTGCCTCAGCCTTCACCCTTCTCTCCATACTGCCCCTTCCCTCCAACTTACCTGCCTCCATGGCCAGCACCGTGATGTTGTGCCAGCCGGCGGTCTCACGGTCCAGTCCCTTGCCCGTCACAATGGCACCTGTGTCTGCATCGATATCAAAGATCTGGTCCAAATCCGAGTCTCGGTCGATGGCATACCTGATGGAGGCAGGGCGGGGCTGGTTGAAGGTGCCCTGGCACCAGATGGAACCCGTGCCCATGTCCCTCACCCCGCCCCACCCTGCCCTATCACAAAGAAGGACCCCTGCCTGGGAGATACAGGAGCAGAGCAAGCCTTTCCGACAGAGGAGGAGTGGAAAGGGTCTGGGTTTGCATCCCAGCTGCCCTGGGCGCCTGCTGTGTGACCACGGGCAGCCCTCAGCGATTCTGAGCCTCAGTCTCTTCGGTTGGGTAACTGGGCTAGCAGGAAGGAGGCAGAGTCCCTGACAGAGAGGTAACACTCACTGGATATACGATTCTTATCTTTCTGTAAGCAGTGACCCTGGAACTGGGCTTGAGAAGGGGGAGCTGCTTATGGGGCAGGGGGTGCAGAGGGTGCAAAGGTAGGTGGTGAGAATTAGCCAGGAAATGGAAAATGATGCCAAATGGTTAGAACCGGGAAGGGGGAGAGTTAGGCACCGGAACACGCAGGGCACTGTACTCAGAGGTTGGACAGGAGCTGGGGGCCAAGAGGAATTCTGAGCAGGGAAAAGGGGTGGGCTCTGGCGTCAGGAGGCCCTCTCTGGCTCCCTGGGCCTGGCAGCCCCAGATCAGGGACGTGGGCGAGGGATGCTGTGCCTGGTGGGTCTAGGGGAACTGCCGCTGGTGCCCCCTCCCGCCCCGCCTGCACAGCACGCAGGAACTAATCTGCGGCTTTCAGCTGCCCAGTGAAAAAGTCCTTTGTTCTGCCTTCTTCCCGGGCCTTTGTGTGGTGGCTCCAGGCCTGAAAGGCCCGTGTCCAACACATGTCTCGGGCGGCAGCCCAGAGAGGCCCGCCAGCGCTGGCTGACGCTTCCCGAGCTGATAACGCAGGCGGGGTGCCGCCGGGCTGCGTGGCCCACAAAGGCCCGAACGCCAAGCAAGGGCTCTTTGTGCGGCAGACAATGCAGCTCGGTGGGCAGGGTTCAGCCCGAGGCTCCGGCCCTCCCTGACAGGAGAGGAGAGGCCCTTTCCCCACCTCCCCAAGTGGGGAGCCAAGGCCCAGGGGGGCGAGGCCACCAGAAACACCCCCGGCTGCCGGGGGCCCAAAGCCCTGACACGACCCTCCAGCGGGGCCTTGGCTGCATTAACAAACTTCTATGGGCCTCAGTTTTCTCATCTGCTGAATGGGGACAATGGCCCCCAGTGGGACTTCACAGGTCTGAGAGGAGTCCATCACTACTTATTCTGTCTGGGTGACCTCGGACAAGTCACTGGGCCTCCTTGGTCTCTATGTGCTTAACTGGAAAAGGGTGTGATTAATACCTCCCACTGGTGTGGATTGTAGGAGGTGATTCACAGATCTGGGCCTAGGTGACAGCCCATATTATTAAAAACAATGAATTAATCCTCACCTGAGGATATGCTTAATTTTTAGAGAGAGGGGTGGGGGAGAGGAAGAGAGAGAGCGAGACAGAGAGAGAAAAGACACATAGATTAGTTGCATTCCGTACTGTGCCCCAACCAGGGGTCGAACCTGCAACCTAGGTACATGCCCTCATTGGGAGTTGAACCAGCAACCTCTCATCACGTGTATGTGACGATGCTTCAACCAACGGAGCCACACCGGCCAGCGCCAGCCTCTCACAGTTCCTGTGGTACGGAAAGGCTTGCGGGAAGCTGAAGGGCTGTGCACATGGCCTTAGTGGGCAGTACAGCCAGTCTCCCGAATCACATTCAGTGCCTTTCCTGTCCCTAAACGGCTCAGCCAACACCGGCCTTGCCCCTGAGCAGCCTCGGTCCCCGCGGGTGAGTGTGTGGGAAGGTTCAAATAGTTTGTAGCTTGCTTTTCCTCTAACCATCCCTCCGTCCATTCCTTTACGCCCAACCATGAGGGAGTGCCTTCTCTGTGCTGCTCTGTGCTGGGCCCTGGGGATAAACGGGCGAACGAGACCAATGAGGTCGTGCCTGGCGCCCCATAAGGCTGGTAGGATCTCCCCGTTTTGCAGATGAAGACACCGAGGCTCAGAGAGGAATCCCCCCCAGCTAAGACTGCCAGGAATGGCTCTGAAGGTTGTGTCCTGGAAAAGGTGCCAGGCTGAAGGGAAAAGCGGGGTGAAGTCCAGCCAGTGTCCTGCTTGCCCAGTCACATGTCCTCTCCCAGCGAGCATCTTCTCAAGAGTGCCATACGGGCTAGAGATGACCCTGTCCAAGGCTGCACTGGGACGGTCACAGAACTGGAATTCGTGCCCAAAATGTGGGCCTCCAGACCCAGAGCTCCTTCTAGCTGTTCCCCATCCAAAGCTGCCGCACGTGGGCCTCAGGTCCCTGTGCCCCCGGCCTGGCCCTGTCAGGTGTTTGCATCCTGAGGAGGTAGAACCAGACTCTGCGTGTGGGCTCTGCTGGAAGGGACCGAGGAGATCCCTCCTGGATTTTCAGGCAGGAGGACAGCGCCCAGGGAGGCAGGGGAATGACACCCCTGGGGGTCCTGATGGGGGGTCAGGGCTGGGCATGAGGCAGGGCTGGTGGGAGGATGCCCACTGCCTCCTTCTTGCTTCTCCTCGCCTCTCCTTTCTGCTCACTCCCTCTTCTCCCTCTTCCAGTCCTCCCGCCCCCCCCTCCCCCCCAGCTTTTCTCTGTTGTTCCTTCCCAGAGGAAAGGGGGGGACTGGAACCTAAGTGGAGGCAGCTGTTCCCAAGGCCAAGGGGGAGGGGCCGCTATTAACCAGCGAAGGACTGGAGGCTGCAGGTCACTGTGGCTGGCTGGGCCCAGGTGGTTTTGTTCCAGCTCAGGGAGCCGGAGGAGTGAGTGGGAGGGTCGGGGGATGGGCACAGCGCGTGGCGAGGAGTGTGGCTGACAAGCTGGGGGCAGGGTGGGCGGGCAGAGGCTGGGGAGCCACGTGTGCAGGAGTGTGAGTTGTGTGTCTGGTCTGCGTGGTGGGTGGAAAGCGTGTGTGTGTGTGTGTGTGTGTGTGTGTGTGTGTGTGTGTGGCTTGCCTCGGTGAGTGGTGTGCGTGTCCATGTGCGTGAGATCCCGAGTCACAGTCAGAAGAGCAAAGGTCTAAGAAGCAGCTACTCAGCCCTGAGTCAGGATCCAGGCCCGGGTTGACCCAGGTAAGTCACCTCCTCCTTTGAGCCTCATTTTCAGCAAAATAGAGATGATGATCCTACCTGGCCAGTGGGGAGGATTAAATGTGGAGCTGGAGTTCCAGGAAAATTGCTTCGTGAGTGAGAATTATTGCTATTCTAATTTTTATTCAGAAATGTCTGGCACGGGGTACACAGAAGTCGTCCGTCCCCCCCCCCCCCCGCACTCAGCGTGTGGTCTGTGTGTTGGGAGTGGGAAACCCAGGTATGGACGTTGGAGTATTGCCAAGTGGCCTGAGAAGATTGGAGACCCCCATGGGTCTGGAAGATTCTATTCAAATCTCATTATCCTGCTTCTCATTGGTCAACCAGGACCAGGAAAGCAGGAAGGGGAACCAGAGCAGGCAGGGGTGAGAGAGTGCAGTAAGAGAATGTGGCATGTCAGTTAGGGAGTGTGCAAGGGAGACATGTGTGTGTATGTGTGTGTGTGTGTGTGTGTGTGTAGGGGAGGGGGCAGAAGTGCAGATCTGGCGCCCACCTGAATGGGTTTGAAATCTCACTGTGTGACCTTGGGCAAGTCATTTAATCTCTCTCTTCTTCAGTTTCCTCCTCCTAAAAATGGAGGTGGTGATAACGATGATGGTACCCACTTTACAGGCTGGTTATGAGATTAGGCAAGTGACTACCAATAGTCACAATAGTAGTCAAAAAGAGCCATGGCATGGACCAATGGGCTCTTCTTTTCATTTGCCAAGCAAGGTGTGGTGCCAGGCCTGTGCAAAGGCTTTATGTGTTAAGCTCCCCAAGACACTGTCATCACCCCCGTTATATAGATGAGCAAACTGAGGCTCAGAGAAGCCAGGGTTCTAGCCCTGGGGCAAAAGGGCTGGTCAGTGGCAGAGTCAAGTTCCAATGCCAGGACTGTCCAGAGCCTCAGGGCTAGGAGAGCCTTCTTAGGGCCACCCAGGCACACCTGCCAGCGCCCACATCCCACAAAGAGATGGCCCAGGTTACGGCGGGGAGGTGAGGAGGGCACTGCTTTCTGGCTTGGGTGTGCATGCAGGCATGGGCACCACATATATATGTGCATAGATAGATAGTGCACACAGGCATAATAAACATGGAAGTCTGTAGGTTCTGGCGTGTACAGCCTTCCCGGTGCACCTGTGTGTGGGCTCATGTAAATACACACGCAGCAGGCTGAACCATGCAGACCCTACCTGGGCTACAAGCAGGGGGCACTCTAGCTCTGAAAGCGTTGCCTCTCCAAACAAGGGATTTCTCTCTGCGCACTCCATCCTGTCCGAGACTCTTTCCGCTTCCCCATCACCTTAAGGCACACATTCAAAGCCTGCACATGATGCCAGTGTTAGTACTGGCAGCAGAAGGAAGGGGAGAAAGTGTGCAGACCACCAAGAAAAAACAGTCATATCCAAACCCATAATCCTCCCTCCAGCCCTGGCAGCACCGAGCACAGAACCGGGAACCTCGTGGACATTAAATACCCATTCTTCGAATAAATGAACGAGGCAGGGGCCACCACAACGCCTGTTTCCGAGATGGGAAAACAGGCTGGGAGCGGGCACAGTGATTTCCTCGCGATTCTACAATGGAACTGGGATTGAAACCAGGTCTGCGTGACCCCACAGCCCACGCACGTCCTGCCACACCCACGGTGGAGCGCTGGGGGCGTTCTCTCCCTCGGTCCTGTGTGGGCCTTCCTGTTTTTGACGTTCACAGGAGACTCACGGCTGGGCGGGTAAATGGACAGTCTCTCTGCAGGGCTGCCTGTTCCAGAGCTGGGCCCATCTGAACATTGTCCTTCTTCCCTCGGAAGCTTTATCCAACGCTGCCCACAGCCTAGGGATCAAGTCCCATCCTTCACCTGACATCAAGTCCTTCACAGCCTGTCCCTCTGTCCACATCTCCCGACCCCTCTCACGTGAGCTCACCTGCTCCTGAACTTCACCTCCTGGCTCTATGATTCTGTTCCTGCCCCCTGGCCCTCACCATCACTCCACCCCGAGTGCCCTCCTCCGATTCCAACTGCATCCTTTCGGGCCCTGTGGGGCCATCTGGGGGAAGCCTGTGTTCACATCTCCCTCGTTAGACCTCAAACCCCTGTCTCAGCCCAAACCCACACAGATGTAGAGCACTCGATTCATATACTGGCAGCCCAGTCTTCCCGCTGGCCCATGTCTGACTCATCTCTGTGCCTCATGCCCTGGGGAAGGGGTGGCACGTTTGGCCACGGCGTTAGCCACAGAGAGAGGAACAAGCAGGGGGACACGGCAGGAGGCTGGACTCAGGAAAGGACAATCGTGGGTGAAAGCCCGTTCCTTTCCCTTTCAAGATGAGGGACCCTGGGTGAGCCACTCCTCCTCTCTGACCTTCAGTTTCTTCATCTGTAAAACGAGTAAAAATGGGTTCTGTAGCACAAAGGCAACCGTATGCGGTGTCTCCCACTCTCCCCAGGGCAGGGACTCGGAGAAACCTTTCTGTGCACACGCAGCTCTGCATTCCCCAGGCACCTGCTGTGCTGGGCCCAGCCTCCCAGGACACCACGTCTCGTCTTCATTTCCAGGAACACGCGAGGCTTGTTCCTGCCTCAGGACCTTTGCACTTGCACTCTCCCACCTCTTTGCACAGTTGGCTCTTTTTTTCCATATGATCTCAGCGTATTTATCAACTCTGTGACACCTCCATCCAAAGCAGCTCCCTGGGGCCTGCAAACCCCTTCTCCTACGACTCTATTTTCTGCAGAGCTCTTATAGGCAATGATCCCACGTAAGCACTTGTTGACTGTCCCCCCACTCCTCCCCCCGGAGAAGGCAAAGCCCATGTGGTCAGGGATAGAGTCTTATCACCATTTCTGCCTTTCCTGGAATAATGCTGGGTCTGACTCAATTCTTAGGTGTTGGCTGAATCCATGACCCTAGAAACTAGGGAGCCGGGATGTAAGCCAGGCCCTCGGTAGCACAGGTGGCCTCTGAGGACCCGTCTCTGTCTCTGTCTCCCCTGCTTCTCACGGGGCCTCCTTTTCCACGTCTGTCTCTACAGACTGGGCACCCCTCTCCAGCTCTGCCCTTGGTTGAGTCATCTCGGCGGTGTCCCCAGGCCTGGCTCGGGGCCTGGCACGGGGGAGGAGTCGGGTAAATGTTTGTGGTGTTAAATTGGACCTGTCTCAAGGTTCTCGCCGCCTCCACATCTGAGGAGCCCCAGGGAAGGGGCCAGCAGGAGAGATGAAAGAAGGTTTCAAAGTTGGCCCTTCCAGTGCAGATAAAAGCTGGAGGGAAGGGAGGGGCCGGAGGAGGCAGATGACTGGAGGGGCACAGAGAGTGATATTGGAGAAGAGGGGAGCAGGCGGGCGGGAGCACTGACCTGGGAGGCAAGGAGTTGGCTCCTGCTCCTGGCTCTTAAATCACGGTGAGAGCCGAGGAAGCCTCTTCCTCTTTCTGGGCCTCCATTTCCTGGCAAATGGCAACAATGCCCCTCCCATCTGCCCCTGCCCCAAGGGCTGGGGCCCAGCCAGAGGCTGAGGGGGAAGTTGAAAGACTGTGCCGACAGCCTGGGGGGAAGGGCGGTGAAGGAGTTCAAAGGCAGGAGAGTGTTGGCCACAAGAAGGGTACAGCCAGCCCAGGGACAGAGTCTGAGCGCCTCGGCCTGCCTCGGCCGTCCGGTTACACCTTCCCCGCCTCACTCCACAGGAGCTGTCCACCACAGCCTGCTCTTCCCCAGCACACAGCCACTCCTCCGCCTCCACACGTCTGCACACGCTGTTCCTCTGCCTGGAGCGCTCGTCCCCTCATGCTTACATCTGACCAGACCCAAGTCCTCAGCCCAGCTCAATTTCTGCCGCCTCTGGGACTCAGTTCCAGAGCCCTGAGGGTGCCTCTCGGCCTGGGAGCCCCTGGGCAGTTAGTCTGTCCTCCCCGGGGGCTGCCACAGAAGGCTGCTCAGGTTGCGTGTGCATCGTCCAACTCCAACTCAGCCATTCACACAGATGACGAGGGCATGTCACCCACCTGGATTCGTGGCAGACTGACTTCCCTGCCCACTCTCTCCAGCGCTCAGCGCAGAGCTGGGCATAAGGTGGACTCAGAGGTCATTCCCGGGCTGTGTACAAGGGCTGCAGGGAGGACACAGGGGGCTCCAGAAACTCTCTCTCATCTGTCTAATGGTCGCCATTCCCTCCACCCTTGACCTCCTCCACTAGGTCAGTTTCTCCTACAATCCTTTCCCCTTTCTATTCTACCTGACCTTCTTCCAGCCAAAGCCACAGCCAGGGGCTCCCCAACCCCAGCCTCCCCTCCCCTCTGCCTCCTGTCTCCATCCCTGCTCTGCCTCTCTCTCGACTTTGTCTGTTTCTATCTTGCCCTTCTGTCTCTCTCAGCTACTCTTGTCCTCTTTCTCCTGGCTTTCCTCTCTCTCAGACTCTTCCTTTCATTGTTCGCCTTCCCACACATCCACAGTGTCTCTCTTTGTCTCTTTCCTCCGTCAGTCTGTTTCTGCATTTCGCCCACTCAGTACACATTCAGTGTGTGTACCCTGAGGAGACAGTGGTGACCACACAGGCACACGTCCTCACCCTCATGGGGCTTATCTTCTCACGGGAGAGACAAGCACAATGATTAGAAAACAGGTGGTGTGTTAGGTGATGAGGAAGGCGAATGAAGACAACGGGGGTTGAGGAAAGGCGAGCTGAAGGGTTCGGGATTGAGGCGGGGCAGAAGCTTTGACAAGAGAAGTCAGGGAGCCGCGCTGAGAAGGCCTCGCTCTTGAGCCAAGACCTGGAGCCAAGACCTCTCACTAGAGGACCAGTCACGGCCCTGTTAAGGTGAAAACATTCCGGGCAGAGGGATCAGCAGCTGCAAAGGCCCTGAGGCAGACGGGGCTTGATGTGTTTGTGGAGCCGTGAGGAGGCCAGCGTGGCTGAGCGGAGTGAGCCAGCGGAAGGAGGGCCATGTGTGTGTGTGTGTGTGTGTGTGTGTGTGTGTGTGTGTGTGTCTGAGAGGTTTATGGCGAGGCCACATCCCACAGCATCTGGAGGCCATTGGAAGGGCTTGTTCTGATTCCGAGCCACAGAGGTGAGGGCGTGGGGCAGAAGAGGGCCGTGTTCTGATTTACGTGTGAGCTGTTTCAATCTGGCCCTGTGCCCATTCTAGATTCCAGGGGGGCGCGGACAGGAGCAGGGAGACCAGCAGGGGACAATCCTGGCGAGAGGAAGAGGGTCCAGGCTCAGGGGTAGAAGTGGGATGGGGGTGGGGCGGTGGGGGTAGGAGGTGGTGAGAACTAGTCAGATTCTGGATGTTTTTAAAGTGGGGATGATAGAGTAGGCTGATGGCTTGGAGGGCGATGAGAAGGACTGGAGTGGAGGGTGTTGATGGAACCGGAAGGAAGGAGTGGGTGTTTTTTGCTGTTTTTAGTTTTTTCAGGGAGCAGCCCAGAGCTCAGTTCCCAGCAGGAGTCTGAGGTGTCTAGGGGCGACCAGGGAGCTGCTGAGAGGGAGAGGTGGGGCAAGGCAGTGGAGCTGGGACTCAGGGGCAGCTCCACGGGGTCCTGAGTCCCTTGCCTGTCTGTGACAGACCTCACACGGCTTCCTCTGTCTCAGAGCTCCGGCTGTGCCCCTCTCTCTCCCCCTTCCCCACCCAGCACGCCTCCTTCCCTCCCGCCCGGCCCCCCTCCCACGCGGCCCACGGGCGCAGGGGCGGCGGCTGGAGAGCAGGCAGCAGGCGTGGCCCCGGGCGGGGGTCTCACCGGACGGGCCGGTTGGCGACGTCGGGGTCCCGCGCAGTCACCACGCCGACCAGGGAGCCCACCTGCGCGTCCTCCTGCACCTCCAGGAGGCCGGAGGGCGGCCGGAACTCGGGGGGCTCGTCCACGTCGGTCACCGTCACGCGCACGATCGCCTGGTCGCGGAAGGTGCCCAGGTCGGCGAAGCGGGGGTCCACGAACTTGTTGAGCGCCTCCAGCACCACCGTGTGCACCGGCTGGGACTCGAAGTCCAGGCTCTGGGGGAGGAAGTGGTGGGCCCGTGAGAGGGCGGGGTTCGCGGGGGCCCTGGCTGACCCCGAGGCTGACCCCGAGGTATCCCCCTGTCTCCCCCTCCTCACAGGTGGACGCAGAGGGCCACGTGCAGACCCACACTCTCTGGTTACAGGTCCCTGCAGGACCCTCTTTTAAAAAACATATATATTTTATTAATTTTTTACAGAGAGAAAGAGAGAGGGATAGAGAGTTAGAAACATGGATGAGAGAGAACCCCTCAACCAGCTTCCTCTTGCCCACCCCCTACTGGAGATGTGCCCGCAACCGAGGCACATGCCCCTGACCGGAATCGAACCTGGGACCTTCAGTCCGCAGGCTGACACTCTATTCACTCGGCTGCAGGATCCTCTTGCCCAGGGACACACAGCCAGTCAGGGCTAAGCTGTACTAACATCCTGGCTTTCACTACTCAGCACGGCATGCTGGGGCATTGCATTTATTTATTAACTTACAAAGCACCTACTGTGTGTCAGAGCTCTGAACATGTTAACGTATCTAATTTCACAGCATCCCCTAGAGGCTTGTATTGTTCTCTCACTCCACACACACACGGAGAAAGAAACGGAGCTCTAGACGTCTGTAGCTTGCCCAAGGTCACGGAGGCAGTCCCTGGCGGAGGCTGGATTCGAACCCAGGCAGTGCAGCTCCCAAGTCCTTACCCCACAAGAGGAAGGGGCCACGGTGGCTCTGCTGCCGCCCCGCTGTGTGTTTGCGGGCATGTAGTTCGCCTCTCTGGGCCTCCGGCGGGAGGATTCGGTGCCCTATTCCCTGGTGCATAGGCGGCGGCAGCTAATGTGGGTTGAGCCGGCTAAGCCAGGCTGCCTTAGAGCTTTCCCAGGGATCCGGCTAAGCCCACACTGAGCCCCGCGTCTCCCCGGGGGAGGGGGGGTGCTGAGGGGTGACCCTCTGATGAATGGGCTCCGTGGCTGGGGTGGCTCTGGCCTTCTCAAAGACCATGCCTCACAGCGGCGGTTTTCAACCTCTGTGCCGAAAGAATTTTTTAAAGCCGGCAGTACCTGACTGTTGAGTCAGGGGCACCGGCCTTTTTCCCTGAGACTGTCAAAGGGAAACACGGCAAGGGCCAACGCAACATTAGCTGTCCGGCGTGAATGGATTAAGAGTGTACCTATCTTTCTGTCAGATCGGCAGAAATTAGAATACGTGGTTGTGTGGTGCGCCGCAGAATTTTCGTCATTAGTTTATGTGTGTCGTGAGATGAAAAAGGTTGGAAATCGCTGCCTGGCTGGCAGCCAAGAGAAATTGCAATGGTGGGAGGAGAAATTGCAATGGGGGTGGGGTGGGGTGGGGGGCTGCAGGCACCTCAGTTGCGTGGTGGGGGAGCTCTCCCAGGACAAGGGTGACCTTCCTAGAGATTAGCCTTGTGTGTCGGGACCTGCCTTTCCTCTCAGAACCTCCCACCCCCACCTTTTCCAGCAGCAAAAATCACCATCTCCGTCCTCCCTCCTTCCTGTTGCCTGGGAAATCAGGATGCAGGGAGGCAGGCAGTGGCCTGGCCTGGGCGTGAGCGATGGGCTCTGGAGCCAGGTCATCCATCAGGCAGGGCTCTGCTCCCCGAGCCAGCACCGACTCCACGGGGACACCTCGGGCGCCAGTGCTGGGGCTGGTGCGAGGGGCCCCGAGGGGGGGACCGGGGAGCGGCACTGGGGGTGAGAGTAAGCAAGGGATATGCTGAAACCCCAAGGCTGGGGGTGGAGCCTCATCCTACTGCTCTGTGATCCTGTGTCTCTCTGGGCCTCCAACTCCCCATCTGTGAAATGGGCTCCTCTTATAGTGAGGACGCTCACTGTACAGTGAGATCAGAAGCCTGAAAACCACATGGTGTTTGGAAGGGTGGACTCTGGAGCCAGACTCCCTGGGCCCCTCCTCTGCTCTGCAAGGTGCGTGACCTTGGATATGCATTACGGAACACCTCAGGGCCTATGAAACGGACAACAATAGTCCCTCAGAGAGACGTTGTAGGGATGGAATGAGTTAATACGTGGAGAGCAGGAGAAGGGTGCCTGGCACATGGTAAACACTTTATCGTAAATACCCACTATCATATTATTATCCTCTGGGAGGTAGTTGAAGAAACTGGCCATTTTCTCCATGTTCAAGGCCAGCTGGAGAGTGGGTCTGTCTGAATGTACTTATTGAGCAAGTGAAGGGTTGTCAGGGGGAAATGTTTCTGTGGGTCCCAGAAGGCAAAGCCCAGGCTGACAGGAACAGATTTAGGAAAACAGGTTCTGGCTAATGGGAGGAGGAAGAGCTGGACGACAAGGAGTGAGCATCCTGTCTCTGAAGGTGCACCAAGGTCTACCACCACCCAAGAGCCAGCGCGGGGATTCAGACCTCCTGCGGGGGAGCAGGGTGGAGTGGACAGTCTCAAAGGCCTGCACAAGCCTGCGCGGCCACGCCCATGACCATGTCTTGGAAAATGGATTTTGCTTCTTTGTTTGACCTTCATCTTCCTCAAGGACTCATCGAGGGTGTACTTTTGACTTCTGGTTTCTGGACAAGCCAATGGGCAAGGAAGATGGTTAGACTCAGGAAAGAGAGAGCTTGGAGTCACAAGACCTGGGTTCAAATCCCAGCTCTACCCCTTATAGGTGGGACCTTGGACAAGCGCCTTTACCCTTCTGAGCCTGTCGTCTTACTTGCGAAATTGCACATTAATGATGTCTCCTTCCGAGAGAAAGGCCAGGATGAAAGGAAATGATGCCGGTAAAGGTCCTGGCGTGGACTTGAAGTAGCACGTAGTAGTGATGAAAAGCACTGATTCAAATCTGGATTGAACCCTGGCCCTGACTACTAGCTGTGCAACCTTGGACAAGTCATTTAACGTTGCTGTGCCTCATTTTCTCATTTGTAAACTGGGAAGGAAACCGCCAGCATTTTCCAGGTGAAGACCTGATCCCTGGAGTGGAGTTGGGTGGGAGTATTTGGCTGTCAGCGGCCTCCCTCTCTCCTTCCCCTGGAGCAGGGGTGGGGAACCTTTTTCCTGCCAAGGGCCATTTGGATACTTACAACATCATTCTCGGGCCATACAAAATTATCAACTCAAAAAATTAGCCTGCTATATTTAGTTAAACATTTAATGAACTCGCCCCTAATGCTTTGGCAGGGCCAGGCCAAATGATTTCTCGGGCTTATACAGCCTGAGGGCTGGACATTCCCCACCCCTGTCCTACAGCCTGCCCCCCCCCCCCATCCCTCCCCAGGCAGCCAGCCGTACCTTCTGCACCACGATGATGGCCTCCTGCGTGTCGCTGTCCGTGATGACCTTGAACACGTGGCCGCCGGTGCCGCTCTCCTCTTTGAGGTGATAAGTCATGTCCGTGTTCTCACCCACGTCCGAATCCTCGGCCTTCACGCGTCCCACGGCGGTGCCGATGGGGGCCGACTCCTTAATGCTGAACTGGTACATCTCTGTAGGGGATACGGCTGTGAGCAGGGATGGGGGCAGCTTCCACCAGCTTAGGAGAGAGCAGGGGGGGGGTGCGCAGATGGGCTCCAGGGAGGGCGATGTCTGCAAGGGGCTCCCCGGTTGGCCAGGAAGGGGCTGGCAGAGGCATGTCCTCTGCAGAAATGCAGGAGACAGTGCAAAGAGGTGGCTCCTAAATCGGACGCTGGGTTTACTTGCTGATTAAGTTGGGAATGTGCCTGCCGTTCTTTGGGCCTCAGCTTCCCCACCTGCCCGGGGGAGGGTGAGAGAGGAGAACCATGGCCAAGGCTAACGTTCTGGAGTCAGTCCTGGCTGTGTAGTCCTGAACCTTGAGTCCCTCTTCTGTGGGATGGGAGTAACAGTGTCTCCCCAGCAGCATTGTGATCACCGTGAACTTGGGTGCCAATGCCTGCAACATGCGTACTGTACTGCCTAGCCCACGGTAGCTACTTAGTAAATGGAACCAATTATATTAGAACAGGGAGGCTTTGTGCTGATCTTTCTGTTGACATTGATTTCTGTGTATTTATTGGGTGGCTATGATGTCCCCGATGCAGTTTTAGGCACCGGGGTTTACAGCAACAAATAAAACAGACCAACATCCCAGTGCTCACAGTGCTTTCCTCTTAATGGAAAGAGAAGGACACTAAACACATCAGCGATACAGGCATGTGTCAGATGGCGATGGGTACGTGGGAGAAGGATGAAGCGGGGGGTGGGGGGAGGGGGGGGGAGGGCTGATGAGGGTGAGTGTGGGTGTTCCAACGAGGTGATCAAGAAAGGCTTCTCTGGGAAGGTGACGTTTTTGCAAAAACACCGAGCTGAGGAGATATATGGGAAAGAGCATTCCAGACAGAGGAAACAGCAGGTGCCAAGGCCCCGAGGTGGGTGCAATGCCCGGGATGCTTGAAGAATGGCGAGATGACCATTGTGGCTACAGGAGCGAAGCAGATGGAAAACCAGAAGGAATGAGATCAGACGGAGCGCAAACAGCACCCTGACTCTCCCCGGAGCTGAGGGTGAGGGGAGGGTGATCTGCTAAATGACAGGCGAGAGCAGATGAAGCAGGGGCTGTGGAGGTGGGCACTGTCTCTTGAGGTCCCCACACAGGTCTGGATACCCCATGTGTAAACTGGGTGCCTCTCATTCTCACACAGTAGCTGGTGGTGGTGGTGGTGGTGGTGGTGGTGGTGGTGGGGGAGTGGAAAGGGGGCGGCTCTCTCTCTCTAAGACACAGCTGACCATGCCACTTCCCTGCTTTAATCCCTCGCACAGTTCCCCCTGCCTCGGGGTGGAGTTGTGTAAGTCCCTTGGCTGGCCCTACCAGAGCTTGCTGCTGGCTCCTGCTGACACCTGCAGCCTCCTCCCCCTGCTTCCTCACCCCAACTCTAGCTTCAGCCAGGCGGCAGTCCTTGTAATTCCTTGAATATGACTTGCTCCGTCTCACCTCCGGGCATTCCGCTCTGTATTCTCCTCCCTGCCTTTGCCTCCTCAATTCCCACTCTCCCTGTAGTCTCACAGAATGTGGCCTCCTCAGGGAACACTCCCAGACCGCCAGGTTCTGCTCCTGTGTGCCCAGGGCCCCCAAGCTTATCCCAGTGTAAGGATTACTGCGTTTCCCTGTTACTTATTGCTCTCTGTTTATTCTCATATTTTCTCTTCTCTCTCCCTTTCTCTCTCTCTCAGAAGGCAGGGACCACATCTCTTATTCATCAGGCATTCTCAGTACCTGGCAGAATACCAGACTGTCACATAAAAGAAATGTGTGAGTGACTAGTGAGTGAATGAATGAAAAGCAGCAGTGAGTTACCAGTATTGACTCCCCAGTTTAACACAAATGAAATAATCTGATAATACAAAGGGCTAATGAGGATGTGGTACAATGGACACATGCATTTCTTTTTTAAAAAAAAAAAAAATTTTTTTATTGAGATTTCAGGAGGAAGAGAGAGGGAGAGAGAGATAGGAACATCTGATGAGAGAGAATCATTGATTGGCTGACTCCTGCACACCCTCTACTGGGGATTGAGCACGAAACCCAGACACGTGCCCTTGACTGAAATTGAACCTGGGACCCTTAAGTTAGCAGGCAGAGGCTCTATCCACTGAACCAAAGTGGCATTTCTTCGTGGGGAAGAGAGTTTGGCTTTATTTAGCAAAGTTGAAGATGAGCATATCTCATGAGCCAGCTATTCTGCTCTCTGTATGTTCACTGAGCCACGTGTGCAAAGTGGCATCATGAGCTGTGCAGCCATGTCCCAAGCAGCATCCTCCATAACAGCCTCAAAGGAAAACACCCCCAATGTCCATCAGCAGTAGAACAGCGAGACTCCGGACTACGGTATAGCAATGAAAACGAATGAAGGACAGCTATAAGTAACAACAGATGATTCCATAAATGTAATTTCGAGAGGCAAATGGCATGACAAACACTTTGTATGGCGTGATCCCATTTAGGTAAGGTTAAAAGCAGGTGAAATGGAACTCTGATGTTAGGAGATGCACTGACCCCAAGGAAAAGTGAGGTGATAGAGACTTCGAGCAGACAGATTCTGGTTAATTCTGGAGGAGGCGGTGGGGGAGGGGTTATGGTCAGAAGGGGGCATGTGGGGGTCCAGGGGTCCTGGTTGGTGATTACAGGAGGGTCCGCTTTACACTGATACTTTACATCCTTCTGTTTGTGTGCTCTATTTCCCGACAAAGAAATGCTAAAGATGGATGGAGAATGAATAAAGAAATGAACAAACAGGAGTTTTCCTGGGTCCTGGCGCCTTTTCTTTTCTCTGCCCCACCCCTTCCAGCTCAGCGCTGGCACGGAGCCTAGCACAGCTGGCAGAAGACTGGGCGACTCCCACTCCTCTACCTGGTGCTTCGAAGCTTCCCCATAGAGGGTGGGGCTGGGCTCTGTGCCAGGCTGCCTGGTGACTGTGCCCACCGCTCCACGTCTGGGCTGAGAAGCCGCGGCACACGCTCAGCTAAGGGATTGGATTCCCTTATCTCCTGGGGGTCAGTCCCCTGTGGCGGGGCCTAATGTGAGAGCAGCAGACCTTGAGTAATGACTCGCCAGATAGGAATCAGCCCGGCTCCCTGCGGCATTTAGTCTCTGCCAGGCTCCAGCTTCCCCGGCATAGCTCTTCGCCTGAGCCTGGGACAGAGGGGCTAGCTGGGCTGATGGGGAGTTGGGAGCCTGGGCCAGATAACCCCCACCCTCTGCTGTGCCAGGAGAGGCAGAGAGTGAGAAGGCCTCATAATTCAGAAGCACAGAGTCGTGCCCTCCCGCTCAGAGGAGGGAAGACCTGTCACTCCAGACCTCAGGGTCTCCAGGCACAACTATGGCCCGTGGCCTGGGTATGGCTGTCGCCTCTTTGCATATCCCTAGGTCTGCCCCCACCCCTGTGCAAGCTGGGTCAGTGGCAGATCGTGTGCAGTAATCAGCATAGGGTGTGTGCAAGGGCCGTGAGGGGGTGGGTGGGTGGACAGATGGGAACTCCCTGCCGGCAGGAACCAAGGTGAGGGGTGAGGAGGTCACGGTGCTACTTGGATGTATGGGAAATCAGACAACTTTGGGGCCCTCCTCTGCACAAAGCATGATGGGAAGGGGTCTGGGGCAAGTGGCTGGCTTGGGTGGTAGGCAGATAGATGGGAGTCCCTCTTTGGGTGGGAAGCTAAAAGGGAACTTGGGTCAGGGAGTGGCTTGGCCGAGCTAACAGACAGACGCACAGATAGTGCCTCCTTCTGGGAAGGCCTTACTCACTCTGCGGGAAGCGGGGCGGGTTGTCATTGACGTCGGTGACCACGATGGTGACGGTGGTGGAGCCCGAGAGGCCGCCCAGCTGGCCCGCCATGTCCGTGGCCTGGATCACCACCTCGTAGCGCTCCTGGCTCTCACGGTCGAGGTCGGGCACCGCGGTCCGGATCACGCCTGTGGACGCGGCAGGGTGAGGCCCAGGAGGCCCACATCGGCTGCCAGCTGATATGGAGACCACTCCACAGGCACCGGCTGGCGCACTCAGGCTCAGCAGGGAGTGCAGAAGGCACAGTCCTGGCCACAGTCCAGGTGCAAGCTCACCAGCCACCACACACACACACACACACACACACACTCACACAGATATGCTCACAAGCTCACACAGTGAACTCGCACTCTGCACTCCACACACTCACAGCACTGTCACACATACACACAGCTCAGCTTTATACATACATTCAAATACACACACACACACACACAGACATAGTCATGCACCTACTTTCAAACACACACTCATACACACATATAGTTTCAAAAACACACTCTCACACATATAAGCATACACATCCATAATCACACACACACAACACAAAAGCAACAGAATGGTCAATTTGGTTTACTAAAAAGAGGCATAGGAACTAGAACCTGTCGCTGTGTGACCCCCTCCTGGGACCCCAGATTCCCCATGTGAGGGGACCCCTGCGGTTGCCTGCGTGAGCCTGGCCTGTGCTGATGGCCTTTGTGCGTGGCACTCCGCCCAGAGCCAGGCTCGGAGCCATAGCGTGGTGAGTGTTTAACAGTGAACTGGACTCGCCTCCACACTCGGTGCACTCACTGTGGAGTCACACACTCGGTATGTCTCATCCACGCATGTGCTGCATACATGGTCACACATACATGGTCACATACACTCATGCATATTAACACACACTCATTCTCAGCCCCCCTCCATGATGACATTATCCTGTGTCCTCAGAGCCCCAGGCCCTGGCCCCCAGCCTGGCAGCAGATTCTCTGTCCAGGCACCAGCTAATGGCCGAACAGACAACCCTTCAAGCGGTTAATGGATGCGGGGGTAGAGGGGCACAGGAACAGGGTGACTGCAAGATGGCCACTGCAGAGGGGAAGGCTGAGTTTCTTGTCTCTCCGCCAGTGGAGATGAGGGTGGAGCGGGGATTCGATGAGGCGTTCAGAGCCTCCCCCCCGTGACTCACTCCAACCTGCCGAGCACCAGGTGGTGACAGGTGGCACCCAGGGCCTGAGCGCCAGGTGGAGTCATGCACCAGCAGCCCCATGATGTGCCCCATAAAACCCAATCTCTGAGTCCTGATGTCCCCAAGCAGCCTCCAGACTCCAATAAAGGCAATGGGACGGGAGAGGAAGCTGCAGCGTGTGTCTGTGTGTTTGCGTGTGTAGCTGGGGAAATGGGGGGGCGGGGAAGGAGGAGAGGAGGGGACACTGGGGGTGGCCCTGCTTTTGTGGAACCACATGGAGAGATGGTCTGTGTATTCTCTCTAACAAAGATCACACAGACCCGTTATACGTGGCCTGGAGACGGCTCAGGAGGCCCCCTGCTGACCTCTCTGTCAGAACAGGTCTCCCCGAGGAGAGGGAGTCTTGGAAGCAGAGGGTCTTGGGATCAATCCACGATCTGCCATTTTTGGGCCGTGTGACCTGAGCAAACCCGTCCACTTCTCTGAAACTCAGTTTCCTCATCGGTAAAGTGGGACAGCCTCCCTAGGGAACAGGATTCCCCCTCTCGGGGCACTATGGATGTTTTGGCAGGATAATTCTACCTACTAGACGCCAGTAGCAGCACTCTCCCCACCAAACCCAGTTCTAAAAATGTCTTCAGACATTGTCAAATGGTCCTGGGGACACAGTCAGTTGGGAACCACGGGTGTGGGGTTTCATCTCATGAGAATTGCATATGACAATGCCAGTCCCTACCATCGATGAGCATGCACTCTGTACTAAGTACCTGAAGTGAACTGTCCCATGTAATCTTCCAACACCCTAAGAGGAAGTGCTGTGATTATCCTCAATTTACAGAAGGGGAAATGGAATCAGAAAGAGGCTAAGCACTTGACCAAGGCCTCACATGTAGAAGGCGCACAGCCAGGATCCAAGCAGGAACTCCGGGCCCGCATCCCTACTTTGACCTGCTCTGCTGGCACGGAGTAAGGAAGGAGGGTCCCTACCCAGCCTGCCTTGCATTCCCTGCCACGTGGCACCAGAGTAGAGCCCAGGCCTCTGATAGAGGGATGCCATTTATGTGGTCCTGTCTAAGCCCCTGGAACTTTCTTGCTCTTCTCAGTCCCAACCAGGAGAGCTGTTTTTTTGAGTCATGCAACAAGTCCTTCTTGACGTAACCCCCCTATTCCTGCACCTCAACACTGATCGTGAGGGGCTGTTGTTTCCTTTGCCTCAGGGGAGGGGGTGGATGTGGAAGGAGGGAAAGAGCAGAAGAGACAAGAGAGGAGAAGATAAAGAATGAAGGCAGCAGAGAGGGAAAGTGGAGAGGAGAGAAGAGAAGAGGACAGGAGGAGAGGACAAAAGGGGACCTGGGGAAAGAGATGGACAGAAACCCAGTGAGAGTCAGGAGGGAAAGAGACAAGGAAAGGGACACACATACATACACACACATGGAGACAGAGGCAGAGAAAGGGGAGGTGAAGGGCTTATAGAGACAAGAACAGAGGGGAGCAGTAGAGCCAGAGAGAAATCACACCCAGGAGGCGACAGTGAGAGAGAGAAAAATAGAGACAGTGAAACAGACCATAGTGAGGCAGAGGGATAGGAAATGGTAAAGAGGTGGAGGCAGGGAGGAAAAGAGAGGGCAGATGGACAGGTGGACAGTGGAGGGGCCACCAGGCCAGAACAGGGGGGCCCTGAGTGAACCAGGTGGAAAGGCAGGGCCAGGAGCTGACCAGCTGAGCACTGTCTGCTAAGCTTTGGGCGTGTCACTTTGCATCTGGGCTCTCACCCATGAGCTTGTTTACAAAGAGCTCAGCAAGGGCTTGGAGCAGGGGTCCAGCTGAGGTCTGCACCTGTGGGTAAGGAGCCATGGGCACGGGGTTGGCCTCCTTGCTGGCCTTGCCACTTGCAGCTCCAGGAGAAATGAGGATATGCACTCTTCTCTTTTGGAAACTGGTGATGAAGCCTGAGTGTATGATCAGGTGCCATCTCTCGGTGACTGGGAGGTGGGTACCCATGGTGCCTCTGGGCCCTGCCTCAGGGTTACCCTCCGTGGTAGGTTGCTACGGTAACAGCTCCCAATGAACCATACCTCCTGGAATCCACAACCATGGGTCATCCCCTCCCACACGGACTCTGGCCTGGGCCACCTGACTTTGCTGTGGCCAATGGGACATCAGCAAGTGTGACTAAGGCAGAGGCTTGATAAGCCCTGTGTGCTGGGGCCTGTCCTCTCAGAACTCTGAGGCCACCAGACAATGCGAGGCAGAGGGACAGAAAGCAGTGAAGAAAGGCGGGGGGAGGGAGGAAAAGAGAGAGCTGATGGACAGATTGGCAATGAGGTGGCCATCAGGGAGTCACCACCCTGAGTGACCCCAGCAAACCCACAGGATTATGACAAGTAATAAACCTCTGCTGTTTTAAGCCAAACCATTTTGGGGCAGTCTGTTAGATAGCAGGAGATAGCGGATAGAGAAATTGAGTCCCCTGGCTCATGCATTTAACTGGGATCAGCTGCTGAAAGGCCCACAATGGCCTCATGCCCTTGCCTGGCAGTTGGCCCTGGCTCTGTGGTGTGACCTTCTCCATGCCCCAGCAGGCTGGGATGGCTTCCTTTTATGGGGGCCTCTGGACCACGTTCCAGGAGAGAGAGCGAAAGCTTCATGGTCTCTCAAAGCCCACTCTGGGAATTTAGAAACATCAGTTCTGCCACATTCTATTGGACCCACCCAGGTTTAAGGGGTGGGTGGAATGGCTAAGCCACTCATTCTGAGGCCAGTGTAGGGATGGGAGGAGTTGACAACATCACTTTCTATCTACTCCATATGCCTCCTGGTGCTGGGAGAAGCATCTTGGAGGCTGGTGCACCATTTGTCCATGAAGTTGTTCTTGGAACCTTTTGACCCTGCAAATTCGTTTATTAAACCCTTATTGAGGGCCTACTATGTGCAGGGGCTACAGAGTCAGATATGAGGTAGTGCAAAAAGAAGGGACTTTGAAGTCAGATAGATATGGCTTGAGATTTCTTTCCATCTTTTATGTGGCATCTGACCTTGGACAAGCTCTTGGTTTCTCTGACCCTCAGTTTCCTATTCTGTAAAATGGGTGGGGATATCCATTTGATAGGATTGATATCCTGTTGGGAGGATTAAATGAGATGAAGCTTCCAGCAGTAGGTCTCACATTTTGGGGATGCCTCACTGACCCCCGCCTCGGGTCCTGGGTTGGATGTCCCATAAATAACTTCCATATGGGCAGAAATCCACACTGGCCTTCTTCACCACCTTATCTATAGGGTCTGGCATACAGTAGGTGTTCAGTACAATTCTGACTGCCCACAGACTCTCGGTCCCACCTCGTGGCGCCCTTGTGTGGCTGTCTATTTGTGTCTGGCTTCTCAGTTGGAACAAACGCCCCATGAGGGCAGAAACCAGATCTGGTTCCTCATCCTGATCCAGCATCTGGCACCTGGAAGTGCTCAGCAAAGGCTACTTTCATTCCTTCCCAGGAAAACGGATGTCTCTGGCCCACTGGGGAATTTTCAGCAGGTCCCTTCCAGTCTCTAAGCAAGTCCTTCTATTCTCATTGGAGCTGTGACGGGCGGGGCTGGCAATGAGAACACGGCCACGGCTCCCTGCCGCCTTCTGCTCACCCCCAGTTCCAGCTGCTGTTCTCTCTGCCCTGTTGTCCCCTCCAAATACTGCAGCAGGGGCCCTGGAACCCAGGTGATGCCTCATTAGACTGCAAATGCCATCCCTGTCGCCCCCGTGGGGGGCTTGCTGGCAGGCCTGGCCTTTAAAACACACATTAATTTCTCCTCAGGCACTGGGCTCTGTGGCACCCCGCCCCCTCCCGTCCCTCACACCTTTCTCTTAGGCCCGTTCGGGCTCTGCTCCCTGCTATCGGCACAGTGAGAACAGACTGTACCTCACAGCAGCTGCTAAATATAGACCCGCATCAGCGGAATATTCCTG